GTTTTCACTCCTATGTGGATCTTGAGAAACCTAACAGAAGATCATGGGGGAGGGAAAGGGAGGAAAATGGTTACAGAGAGGGAGGGAGGCAAACCACAAGAGACTCTTAAATTCACAGAACAAACAGGGTTGATGGGGGAGGTGGGAAAGAGGGAAAACGGGCATTGAGGAGGGCACTTGTTGGGATGAGCACTGGGTGTTGTATGTAAGCCAATTTGATAATGAATTATATATTTAAAAAAGAACAAAACTGGGCCTCTTTCATAAACCACACACAAAAATAATCTTATGGTGAATTAAGACCTAAGTGTGAGACCTGAAACCATAATGCTTCTAAAAGAAGACACAGGCGGTAATCTCTTAGACATCAGTCTTAGCAACACATTTATGGATGCGTCTTCTAGGCAAGGGAAACGAAAGCAAAAATAAACTATTGGGACTATACCAAAATAAAAAAATTTTGCACAGCAAAGGAAATTATAAACAAAACAAAAAGGCAATATAGTGAATGGGAGAAGATATTTGCAAATGGTATAGCTGATGAGGGATTTACATGCAAAATATATAAAGAACCTATACAGTTACACACACACACACACACACACACACACAGAGATTAAAAAAACGGCCAGAGGATCTGAACAGACATTTTTCTGAGGAAAACATACTGATGGCCAACAGACACATGAAAAGATGCTGGACATCATCAATCATCAGGGAAATGCAAATCAAAATCGCAATGAGGTATTCTCTTACACCAATCAGAATGGCTAGTATCAAAAAGACAAGAAATAACAAGGGTTGGTGAGGGTGTGGAGAAAAAGGAACAGTACAGGGGTGGTGGGAATGCAAACTGGTGCAGTCGCTGTGGAAAACAGTACGGAGGTTCCTCAAAAACTTAAAAGCAGAACTACCATGTGATCCAGTAATTCCACTACTGGGTATTTACCTAACGAAAATGAAAACACTAATTCAAAAAAATATATGCATTCCTGTGTTTATTGCAGCATAATTGACAATAGCCAAGATATGGAAGCAACCAAAGTGTCCATCAATAGATAAATGGATAAAGAACCTACGTTATATATACAATGGACTATCAGCCATAAAAAGGAAGGAGATCTTGCCACTGTGATAACATGGATGGTTGTGGACGGTATTATGGTGAATGAAATAAGACAGAGAAAGACAAATACCATACAATTTCACTTATATGTGGAATCTAGAAAACAAAACAAACCCAAACATTCTTAAATATAAAGAATAAACTGGTGGTTGCCAAAGGGGAAGTGGGTGGGGTGGTGGTGAAATAAAGGGGATTAAGAGGTATAAACTTTTGGTTATAAAAAAAAAAAAAGTAAGTCACAGAGGAAAAATATACAGCAGAGGGGATACAGTCAATAATATTATAACAACATCATATGGTGACAGATGAACACAGAGTAATATACATAATTGTTGAATCAATATGTTGTACACCTGAAACTAAATAACACTGTATGTTAACTATATTTCAATTTAAAAAAAGGGTTTCACAGGAAGACTCTACTTTAGGATAGTGGGGAAAACCTCTATTTTATAACGTATGCTGAAACTACTGATCTCCCACATTTCTGTGGGCATATCTCCTCATGAACTACTTTCAGAAAGTAGGCTGGGTAAACTTCCATGATGTCATATATGTTGAGACCTCACTATTCTTCCCTTTTCTGCTCTTAAACTTCCCCCCAAAGTCTCAAAGGTGTAGAAGAAGATGGTCTACTGTGATATTCCCACCATTGAAATTTACGATAGATTTATTTTTGCACAACCTTTTAACAGTGACAGGAGGTAACATCCTAAAATCCTAAGGAAACATTTGCAGCCCTTTACTGTAGACCTATCCCATATTCTCCCTGCCCCCCACCCCTCTTACAAAGGTTCCCTAATGGCACATATTTTGGTTTCACTTCCAAGAAGTAGGAGCCTCTCACCTACCAGACCAGGTAAATGGGGAGTTTAAATCCAGAGGACTCAATTAAGGCTGACCGAGATTAACTACTGACAAGGATTCTACCGAGGATCAGGATAGCTACCTTTCTTCCCAGATGCTGGTACACATGGCAGCCTTGCTTCGCCTTTTATGGAGCACGGGAGACCAATTTCAACTGGACCTTCTCTGAAGATGTGTTCACTGTCTCTTAAGCAGCGAGCCTAGATTATAAACAAAGAGTCAGACCACGAGCCTACCCACCCACTACTGCCCAGTCAGCTCAGCCTGCTGCCCTTGGGGATGAGATCCCTTTAAGATTCCTAAATGCACAGATAACCTACACCCCTCTTTCCCTCAGCATTCTTTTAGGGTCCCCTATGCTTTAAGAGTCTATCTATTTTATGCATGAGCAGGAAAATATTCACTTCCTTCATACTTTCCTGGGGCTAATCGATTTCTCCTGTACTGTCTACATCATTCAGTCACAAATAAGAAAGGAAGGTTAATGGACGAAAAAAAGCATACAAAGGAAACACCAAGAGGGTTTGTTCTTGGATACAAAAATTCAACACTCTAGCCCCAGCGCATGTGAGTCAACGGCAAGGCAAAAGTTGCCCTCGACTCAGTGTTCCATGCACGCATTAGGGATGATGTGTATATAGGTATTAAGTATATAGGTATTAAGCTGGTAATGAATCCTCAATAATTTCAGTGAATTTGTTTCTATCCTGCTCATGCCACAAAGAATTTAAGATCTTAAAAATATCTCTAATACAAATGCATTAAATAAATACCTATCTCCAAGTGGGGATACAGGCATAAGGATAAAAGCCAGAGGCAAGGCGAATGCTCAGGAACAGACCCCACAGATCAAAGGGAGAAAGGACTCACATGGTCCTTGCCGAGTTGAAAGCGCAGGAGCTTAACCTAAAAGCCTCTCCTACCTGTTGAGTGCTCTCAATCATTGCCAGTGCTTCAGCCATTAGCTTCTGATTTATGCCACAAAGGTTGGCCACCTTTGTCTGGCATCTGTGATGGACGTTCATCCCACATGCTGAAAGGAGAAAGGGACACTGTGAGCCAGAGGAACAGAACTCACTGAGCGGGCTTTGCACAGGTCTGTTTCAGGTACACATATGTTGAAGAATGATTGGCAAATCCCTAGAGCCATTTTCCGAGGAGACACTGAATACAAATAAATTAAGGCAGTGCATTTATGATTCCCACGCATCCGCCTCTCATTCCCAAGACTACACACAGACAGATGTTCCTTGATGGGATGCTGGGGAATGACAGCCACTGGAGGCAGAAGCAGAGCCTTGCTGACAGTGGAGGAAGGCTGCTGTCAGTGTGCACTTAGACGATGCCGTTGCTGGGAGTAGAGCCCTGACGCTGGCTCTCTCTGGTGGAAATGTGCCATGATGGAAGGTGGTTCACTTCTGTTCTAGATTGGAGTCCAAGTATCCCCTTTCCCACACGAGGTGCAAGGAGCTTCTCTCCCCTCTAGGCTGAAGCCCAGGGTGCAGCCTCAGCCTGCAGAACTGAGCCAGACATGGTGGGGGTGGTCTGTGCTTTGGGATGGGAGTGGCCTGGAGGCCATTCTCACCATATGGCAGAGTTGGGCTAGTTGAACCAAATGATGGAGCTGTAAGTCCTATGATTCTAGGGGAATATTCCGATTTATTAGTCTTGAAAACGGTGCACTGAAGGTCCAACCTCCACTTCCTGTGATCCCATGAGCCTTCCTGGATCGGGATGTTTGTGAATCTGTGCGTGTGTAGAAAGACAACTACTACTTCATGTCGTTGGTTAAGAAACATGAAATTCTGCCTGTGAAACATCGTTATTACAATAAAAAAATTCTAACGTGAGATTTCCAAACTCCAGCTGATAGAATTCTGTTTCCAAGTCCTATTTCATTCTGTCAAGTTCTATCGATAGCGATTGTTATAATGGCATTAGGCAAGAGACACTATAAAATAATGCACTTTTACTCTCACCCTGCTTATCAGCCCGTTTGTGTGCAAAGAACTTAGCACAGTGAATGGCATCAAATAGATGCTCAACAAATACAGTTTCTCTTTCATCTCCATTGTCTATTTCAATGAGATACATATTAAACTATTTCAGTGAAATTTGAGCAGGCTTCAGCCTTTAGTTTTGACTGACTTTCTCTTCCTCAGAGACTTTATAATAAAACAGCATTTTCTATGTAAATACAAACCAGTACATTGCATCGATAGAACCCAAATCCATTCTAAGTGAAATCTCTTATGTATGTCTAAAGTCCTTACTATAGTAATGATGCTGTTTATAACGGCTTTGTACCCTTGTGAAGTCGGCATGGCTCCTCCTGGATGTGCCTCTGTGGGTTGCACATTGGGCAGCCCTAGCTGCGTTTCCTTGTTACCGCGAGGCAAAGGGAGGCAGTTAGCGAGGGCCGGGCACGAAGGACTGGAGAGTTTCACTTTGCTTTTAAACACGGAAGCCGGATCTAAGCTTGTCTCGGATGCATGGCATGAAGGCATGTCCCATCCCCACTGTGATAATGTCCTACGTCTCTGTTACTGACCTGTTAGGTGATAACTTGATCTCTGGGAGTGCAAACTGGCACTTGGGACGACGATTTTCATGGGAATTACAGTGGAGAGAGAAAGGAGACAGAGTCGAGACAGAGGGAGGCCCTACTTGGGAAGGAGGCTCAGACGAGAACAAGACAGGAGGAGCAGGGCCAAGGCAGAGGAACAGAGTCCAGAGAGCAGGGAGGGAGGAGAGGTGAAGTCAAGGGCATGGGGGGCGAGGACACAGGGATGTCTGCAGGCGTCAGCAGCCAGAGCAGAGGGTGCTGGGGAGGAGAGGGAGGGGAGGAGAGGGAAGAGGAGAGGAAGGGAGAGTGGAGAAAGGCCGCCTGGCATACAGGAGGTGGGGGGAGAGAGGGAAAGAGAAGAGAATGGAGGAGAAAGAACGTTAGGGAGGATGTGAAACAATGGCAAGGAACTCTCTAGAGGTTCCAGGCTGAGAAGCAGAGACAGGCTGTTGGCACCCCTGGGCAGGTGAGGCGCTCAGGCTCCAAGGAGAGGAAACCCGAGCTGTGAGAGAGACCGTCAGAGGACCAGGGGGGCCTTCAGAGGGCATCTGATCACTCATACCCTGCTTGCTCCGTTTGGGAATTACTCCTTGCCTATGAATTCCTAAAGATCCTCCGGAGACCACTAGACCCACCGGGGTGCTCTTGAGCAGGTATAGAGAGCAAGGCGCTCTGTGGTACTTCTGGGCTACAGAGGGCTTATTTGGATGAACTTTCACTACACCTGGGTTTTGCCTCCAGAAATGGTTTGAAAGCCTACCCCTCCTCCAGCCTCCACTGACACGTCACCCCAGGCTCTGACAGGCATGTGAACGCAACGGGGACAAGGAAGAGAAGGCTGTTGAAGGCGGCCCTTGCCTTTATCACCACACAGCAGATAAACATAGAGGAAGGGAAGGGAAAGTAATATAAAAACAGAGAGCGAAGCAAACCAGGGAGCCTTTTAACTACAGAGAACAAACTGAGGGCTGCAGGAGGGGAGGGGGGAGGGGCTAAATGGGTGATGGGCGTTAAGGAGGGTGCTTGTGGGGATGAGCACTGGGTGTGGTATGTAGGGGGGTGAATCACTGGGTGCTACTCCTGAAACCAAAACTAAATTCAAGGTTAACTAACTTGAATTTAAAGAAGTTAAAGAATTGCAAAAAGATGTAACCAGTGGCATAAAATAGAATGGGGTGACCAAGAAAAAGGAAAGTGGCTTCCATATTTAATAATTCAAAGTAGAGAGGCCTCTGCCACAGCAGGACGCCCTCCTTTTTGGGTGTCTCTCTGGCCCTGTCCCCCACCCCCACCCCCACTCAAAAGGCAGAAGTGGCTTGCTGGAATCTTTTCCTCCCTACTGTCTAAGCCTGGTGTAACAGCATCTCGGTTTCTAGAGGTTACTGCCTTAGCCATTGGAACTCTTAGAGCATTAAAGTGCTTTTTGCCCTTTCTCAGGGCAGGTCTAAAAATCTCAATTGCATGCAGAGCTGTAGGCTCATTCGGCTGTAATGCCAGCCTTCCAGGAGAGATCAGAGGAGGGAAAGTGGTCAGTGCGGGGTCGGGCCTCTTACCCGGCACTGTGAGTCTGCAGCACGCTTAGGGCACAGAGCCTACCGTCTAGGTCACAAAATCCTCACATGCAGGAGCATCTATCAGCCAAGCAGATGAGCTGGGCTTGCTCCCTGATGGGCTACAGAGAGAATCTTAGGGCTGGTGTGAGGGAGAGAGGCAGGGTCAGAAGGAGCCGGCCCAGAGCACTGAGACACAGGGCGGGTCCCAGCGAGGGGACCAGTCAGGGGAAATGCTATCTTCCTTTCTCCCCAGCACAATAGGGGACACGGGAAGGGAGATGGGTCAGGAAGACTGGACATTAGCCTCAACGGGTTTGCACTTTTCTGGGAAACAAGGATTAAGGTGTTGGGGGTGGAAGGGAATGAAAAGCAGTGGTTTCTCATTCTGGGCACTTCGCATTCAAGATGTCGGGGTTGTCCGGGCTGGCTGGAGAAGTCAACCCCCCGACCTCTCTCCATCCAGGCTGCAGAGCCACCTGTTAGGGGTCCCGCATCGGGCCCACGCCCCTTTCCCACTAGACTCACCGTCACACTTGAGTCCTTGCCGTGCCAGGCCCCACAGCAGGGTCCCACAGTGCTCGCAGAAGGTCGGGCTTTTGTAATTGTAGACTTTGAACCTATGTGGCATGTCAATTTTGAATCTCTCCTTGTGGAACTGAAAAAAGGAAGAATGTGTGACCAAATGCGTGTCCCTGGTTTTCAACTTTGGGTGTCTTGGCAGACACTCTAGTCCAACAGAGCACTAAAAACACCGGAACAATGTACACTTTAAGGCATAAGTGTGACTTGTCAAGCCTTCCAGCTATGGCCGAAGAAGGCAGGCGGCCATTAGCTCTTCCACACAAGGGCTAAGTGTATAATATACTGGATTAAGCTGAAAGTGTGGGGCATTCCCACAGAGAGGCTCACAGCATCAGGAAGAGGGGACTGGGGTCATTTATCTAAATGGGATCTAAGTAAACACTACACTGCCCCTTCCTATTCTTGTATAAATAGTTCCTTTTTTTTTTTTTCAACCCAAAACTCGGACGCTAACCTTTGAAAGATGTTATGTAATACTTCTTCTACAGGAAATACTGCTTACGGGCTTAACAGTATGCAAGCCTAAGTGTGAAGCACTTCACCGCTCTCACATGTGGATGGATGGGGCGCCAGGCAGGTAAAGGGTCCTTCTGGGTGCTGTGGACAAGTATGTTGCTTGTATTGCCTTTCATACATGTGATATTGCAAATACCTCCTTGGAAGTCGCTTCTATTAGAATCCTTATCTGATAGATGAGGAGGTTAAGCACAGAGAAGGCAAGACACCTGTCTTGGTCACACACTAGCAAGCGAGCCAGGACATCTATAAGCCTGAAGACAGAATCAGCCTATACTCTTTCACTGTTACCCTTTCTCCATCAAAATGAACATGATGGTTTTGGGGACAGGGAGGGGAGATGAGAGAGGGTTGCTGGTGGTAGATATACAGCAGGATTTTGTTTCTGTTTTTGTTTTCTAGAATTGAAGTTATCTCCTTTAGCCAAACGTACAATGTGAACGACAGCCATAACAGCATCAAGAAGTTTGATTCTGGGTAAAAATACCAATATTCTTGTGTAATAAAGAAAGTTCTACTTAAGACTTATAATCTCTCCGGATGTTCTTAATTAAACAATTCCTTTGGGAACGTGCACAGCAAAGAAGACTTATTCATTATCAGGGATACGTCTAGTATTCCCACCGAGGATGTTAGTCAGCATCAGGCCATTAGAACAGCTGTTTAGAATTATTTAAAAGTTGCCTAGAACTGATTCTAGCCATTTTCAACCAAGAAAAAATAATTTTCAGATCTCATTTTGTATAAACATTCCCATGTAAATATGAATAATTAGTGACAAGGTCCAGCTGGAAGTCTTCTACCTCAAATCTAAACCCCAAGCTCAAATAGTTCAAGATATGTCTGAGAAAGGCTAGAGATTTATACATTCCAATATGATATGCATTTAGTGGGCCAAGTGAGCACCTCAATGATATGAGCAGTAAAATGATATGCTATCAGTGTAAAATACGGAGTTTGAAGATTTTGTATGAGAAAAAGAATGTAAACTAGCTCATTAATTTTTATGTGAAGACTCCTGAAAATTTTAAATTATGCTCATGGCTCTCATTCTCTTTCCAACGGACATTGGCCATTGAGATAGAGAGACATTCTTGTACTTTGTGATTTTCCCAGGAAAGCTGAAGGCATCAAGTAGAGAAAGCAGAAAGGCAGGTTGCGAGGTGGAGGTTTGATTTAAACAAACAAAACACTGGTCTGGCAGAGAAAGACAAATACCATATCATCTCACTTATATGTGCAATCAAAAACAAAACCCAAAAAACCCTACCAAGCTCATAGAAAGAGATCAGACTTGTGGTTTCCAGAGGTAGGGGGCTGGGAGACAGGAGATGAAGTGGGGGAAGGAGGTCAAAAGGTACAAACTTCTATTTATAAGATAAATAAGTCCTGGGGATAGAAGCTAGACATGGCGACCACAACCAGCACAGCTGTGTGAGGTACAAGAAAGAGGGTAGATCCTAAGGCTTCTCATTACAAGGAGAAATCTTATTTCCTCTTTTTATTCTATCTACGATGATGGATGTTAGCTGAGCCCATCATGGTAATGATTTCATCGCTTATGTAAATGAAACCATCCTGCCGTATGCCTTAAATTCATACAGTGACATATGTCAGTTATTTCTCAATAAAACTGGGGTGGGGAAGACCCCCAACACCACTGCTCTGGGAGATTGAAATCTGAAATTTAGTCCCAGCCTGGCTACTTATATTATAGATGGTTGACTATGGACAAACTACTCGAACCTCTTTAAGCCTTAGGAGAGTCACCTGTAATAGAAGACTGCCCCCTTTCCAACTAAATTCTGACTAAATTTTAGAAGAAATTCTGCTCTGCAAAAATTCAATCAATTTGCCTTCTCTGTGCCTGCCCAGTGGCTGAATAAAATCCCACACCAGGGCAGTCTGGCCTCTCAAACTCGGATGAACTCATCACTGCCCTCGGCAACACTACTGCTCTTCTCTAACCACCGTGCTTTACCATCCTGGAATAATTCTCTCACAGATCCTTTCTCTGCAAAGCCACTTGCTATCTCTTCTTCCTTCCCCCAATCTCTGGACTGCACTGACGTAGTAAGCTGTCTAAGGGAAGCTCTCTCAGCTGCCTGCCGCCAAATCTACAATCCATATGAACCATCCTCTCCTCCCTTTCTGCTACAATTAATGAACCATCAGTCTGTCCGTCATAGACCCATCCCCACATCTTCCCCTCTTGCCAAGGGTGGACTTCTTCCCTCTTGACTGATCTGGTTGTCCCTCTCTCTAGCTTCATCCACTTCTCATCTATTTCTAGCTATGGGAATATTGCCATCCTTTGGGTCTCACCTCCTTTCAGTTACTGTTTTACTTCAATGAGCTTCAGGTTAATCTTCTTGATAGTATTAGTACATAAATGGTTTCTATGTCATCAACTTCCAGTAACCTTCATTGCTGGTCAAGGAAACAATCACTCTACAATTCTTTGAAATTTCTTGGATCAAGGGCTCCGGATATCTCCATGAGGTCTTCATTTTAGTGGCACCGAACACAATTGACCCCTTTGCTTTCTGGTTTCGGTAACTTCATGTACTCTTAATATATGGAGAGCCCTTTCTGAACTCTTTTTTTTTTTAATATGATGATGATTATTTTTTTAATGTTTATTTTGAAAGAGACGGAGTGCGAGTGGAGGGGGAACAGACAGTGAGGGAGACACAGAATCCGAAGCAGGCCCCAGGCTCTGAGCTGTCAGCACAGAGCCCGGTGAGGGGCTCGGACCCGTGAGCTGTGAGATCATGACCTGAGCCGAAGTTGGATGCTCAACCGACTGAGCCACCCAGGAGCCCCGAGCCCTTTCTGAACTCTTATTCTCAGTCATTATCCCAAGCTCCTTCTCTTCTGCCTAATGTAGTTTTAGATTCCTTCGGGGAATTTATATATTTGGCCTATTGGCTCATATAAATCCTGAGCGCCTGTAAAATTGTCCACTTGATACCCACTTGAATGCCCGCCATCTCAGGTTGGACTTATTAAAAACCGAAATATTAATTTCTCCTCTAATCTTACTCACATTATTATGATTCTGCCTCTACCCTACTGCTCAAGACAAAAACTTGGGCATCATCTTTATTTATCTCTCTTTTATTTTTCACATCCAATCTATTGGTAAATCCAGTCATTTCTAACATGGCAATCACCTGAAAATCTGCTCACTTTGCTCCACCTCCATCGTTCCCATTTCTGGTAGAAGCCATCAACTTTCCCCCTTGGGGGGACTTCTGTACTCACCTCTGGTTTTTTACATTCGCACTTCAACCCACCATTTCCCTACTGCAGTCACCAAGTGGGCTTTCCACTACAGATCAGATAAAATCCAACCACCTCACCAGGGTCTGAAAACCTCCATCCAGGTAGGCCCTTCCAAGTTCCCCGACTTCATGTTCTGTTTGCTCTCTTCCCCTTGCTGTTCCAGCCGCGTGGTCTCATTTCAGTTCCTAGAACATGCTGACTCTTTTCCCCTTGGGACCTTTGCTGTCTGGAGGGTCTCAGCTTAAATCCTCCCTGACCTTTGGTTTAAGTAGGTCACTAGTTATTCTCCACCATCATACCTTGTTGGCTTTTTTTTTTTTTTTAGCACTTAATATAAATGAAAGTAATACATTGTTGTTTGTCAGTTATGTATTTCCCTAATTTTACGGTAAGGTCCATAAAGACAGGACCAGGTCTGTTTTGTGCTCTGCTGTGCATTGCATAGAGTGTCTTCCATGTATTAGGTTTGCACTAAATACCTGGTGAATGAAGAAGGAAAGTATAGGAAAAGAAGTGTGCCTGACTTTCTGTGTTTGCTTCCCTTCCCTAGGCAGTAGCATCTAACTTGTTCCCTTGCCATATACCTCAAGGTTCATTATGAAAGAAACACTTGTCTCTCAACAACAAGAAGTATACTTCTGTTATATCTCATACAAACTGTGTAAATGCTTACAGGTATTTTGTAATCATTCGCCTCTCTTCTTTAACTGTCCCTCCTAGCTCTAGAAGCCACAAGAGTTGTTCTCATATAATTGACCAAAACTGTATTTTCTGGCCAATTTCTATCATGCTTTTCTGGAAAATGGAGAGTCACTGATGTTCTTATTATGCTTTTCTTATTCATCCTCTAGTTTTGGATCTCAGTAACCGTCATTATTGAAGAGGAAAGGGTTTTAGGGAGATTGGCATTCATTGCAAAGCTTAAGGATTCAAGTTCAGGCAATACGAAACATTAGTGGGTTGTAAAATTTAATGTCAGGCTAAAGTTCTCATGTTTCAGACAAGAAGGAGGAACACGTACCATGGTTTCTCTGCTATTGATAGCTGATCCTGTGCACTTAGCTATAACTTTATCGATACACTTCTTGTGGATTGCTGCATTACACTCTGAAAAGAAAGGATTGCCGCTTAAGATTTTCAGAAGTGAAGGAACAATGAAATACAAAGAATGACAGTAATACAACCGAAATCCTTCTTACTTACGTCGACACTGGTAGCCTTGTTTGTTCAGACCCCTGCAATAAAGCAGACATTTGATTTATTTGGATGCTTGAGTCAACAGCAGCACCACAAACTTTAAAAGGTGAATAAGATCTCATAGCTTCCTATGATCACAGAGCATTTACTGATCAGCAGCCCTGGTCTATCACTGGCCAAGAGTGTTAACATGCTTATTTGCTTTTTAAGCAGCTTTGTTAAAAGTCTGATAATAAATGAGGAAATTTTGTTTTCCCCCTCACTTGTGAATTTTCCAAACCAACATGTAGAGATGAAAATACTGACTGAAAATTCAGCACAGGTTCCTAGCAGGAAATATCCACGTCCGACACTTACAAAGTCATTGTCTCTCTAAGCTCAGTATAGATGGGTAAAGACGCCTGTACAGTGTCTTATTTCCTCTGAGTATCTGATAATATTTGCAACTACTAAATTCTTAAACTTAAGACCCATTCCCACGTAACACTATTAGAAAGGAAGGCAACTGTAGTCATACAATGAAAACTATTGGTGGAAATATACCAAAACACTATTTGACCTTTCGATACTCTAGCTAGGCTGAGGTTGTGAGGTGATGCATGCTCAAAGAAAAGAACACCCCACCAAGACGCAGGAGGCTGAAACCAGAGACGGGAGTCATTTCAGGTCTCTGATGTTCCATTGCCTTCGCTATGTGCTTCCTGAGGCTTGAACTGATCTCTGTCTGAGGACTGCTGTGACGCCCAGGAGCCCCGTAAACATCTAAACACATTAGCTCCAATGTAGAAGTGTTTCCTTTTGCACGCATTTGTCCCAGCAGAGTTGTGCCATCAAGGTGGTAGAACTTTCAACTGTAAAACTGTGCCAACGGTAAAGAAGTCTCCCTCTTCTGTCCTTCCCTCTTAACCCCATTTAATTAGAAGCTAAAGTTCTTGGAAACTTTTTCTGCTAGAGCTAGCTTCCTAGCTCTATAGGAGTCACATTATGAAAAGACTGTATAGAATCACACTTTAAGCCTCATCCATCCAGGTAAGGCCACTGAA